TAAACCTTCTGGAAACCAAAGTAGCAGCTGTAGGACTACCAGCCTGTAGGAGCCCAGCTGTAGGCAAGGCCAATAAGAGATGGTCTGATGGGGTTGACAGCTCTAGGAAATCCATTTGCTCACCCAGCCATCAAGTGTGGAGCCGAGCTGTGTGCCAGACCCTGAGGCTACTGCATAAATAAGATGGAGCCATTACACTTGAGCCAGGGTCAGATCACAGAGGGACTGGATCACTTGTTGCCTGGGCCGAAGATATAGAATGAGAACAGGGCCCACTGCAAATAAAATACTGCAGCCTCAAGAAGCTGGGTCTGGAAGGGAAGACAGGTGAGGAGGACAGTCCACACATTGGGATTGGCGCCAGGGGTGGCTCTGCTGGAGTCTGGTGTGGGCAGCACCAGAAAGAAGCCTGAGCAGGTGATGTATGTGACTGGGGCTAAAGGAGGGTGGACAGATGGGAACAGGGCAACCCAGCAGAGGAATCACTCATGGGAATTCCCAAGGGGTCCCATGGTGCAGCGCCTGGGAACTGCAATCTCTTCACTTCAGTGTGGAGCTAATCAAGAGTTGCTGTGGGTGGGAACCCGGGGTGCCTGCCTCTGGGGGTATGCTTATGGAGAGAACAAAGGGAGCTTTAAAGGGCCTTGGGCAGCCCAGGTGACAGCAGAGAGGAATGATGGGGGGGACTGTTAGGAGACCCTCACACCTCCCTTTCTTCTCTAAATATCCCGCTCTTTACTGAAAGGTTCTCCCTCCATCCCAGCCTCATCCTTTGCCTCCATAGCACTCAAATATCAGCCTTTCCTGGGAGTCCCCTAAAGACAGGGACCTTCTTAGCTTTGGCTATTTCCCTGCCCAGCCTTGTGCTTGTGAAAGTCCTGCCCCAAGTCATGTTAATTAGTGACTTTCCATTAATCTGCTGGTTACTTGCAAGCCACAGAGGACTCCTCTGACTTGTCTGAGCCTCCAGTGCATCTGTAGAAGAGAGCTCTTCATTACTTTATAGGCTGGGATTAAATTACAGTGGGAGCGAGGCAAGCAAAGTGAGGGCTTGCAGCCACAAGACGAGAACTGAGCCCAGCCCACTGTGACCCGAGAACTTTCACTCATAGCAATCCTTCAAGGTAGATACTGCTGTTTCAATCACTTTGCAGGTGTGGAAACTGGTACAGAGAGCCTAAGCAAGTTCCCCTAAGGATATGTGGCTAATGGTGGCAAGGCCAGGATCTGGGATCTTTGTACTACTGTGATGTCCTGGAACCTATCAACTCCTTATTACAACTACAGACGAGGACTTCAGCAAACACGGTCTCTGGGGCTCACCTGCCACGCCCTCCACATGCCCAGGTTCTGGCCCTGGTTGCTGTATGTTCCCATGTTTTCCTGATGGGCTAGAGGTTCCTGGTTACTCAGGGGAGAAGGAACCTTGTGGAGCCCTCCTGTCCTGGAAGTCCAGCCTGCATTCTGACCCTGAGGTACCTGCCTCTAGCGCCTGCCATGGGCTCCCACCCATGTTATGCCATCTGCCATGGGCTTTAGACCCTGGGTGAATCATCCTAGGGGACTCCTGAGAGACAAGAAAGGCTAGGAGCCAGATTTCCATCTGGCCAGATGTTCTTTAAGCTGGGGGACTTCTTTACCCTATCCTTCCATCTGTTCTGAAGAAAAGAGCCCTGGAACTTTGCTAGTGAGTCAGATGTAGGGAGTAGGTAGAAGGGACACAGGTCACGATAATGGAGCCCTGAAACCTAAGAGTCAGATCCAGAGACTAGGGCTGCCTACTTCCTCCCTGAGGCTGCAAGGGAATGTGGTTTTCAGGAGAAAGAACTTAAAAAAAACCCAGAGAATTCAGAGTGTAGAGGTCTTGAATAGGGCCCGCAGGTTGGTTAGAAGGATATTCCTGCCTCATTCCTTCTTATTTGCATGATTTGTTCGTCACTTAGTGTGAGCAGGAGCTGCCCCAGTACAGAAAGCTTAAGCAGGTTTATGAAGACTTATGCACTCCTGCCAGATGGGCATGATGGGAAGAAGGAATCAAGTTCTAATCCTGCCTCTGCCACTCTAGCTGAGTGACCACCAACAGACCACACCTCCTCTGTGGGCCTGAGCCTGTTTTTTCAGCTGAACATCAGAGTGATTAGCCTCATTGATCTAGGAGGCAAGTGTGCATTGTGGTTAAGAGACCTCAGGCTTTGGATTCAGACTAGACTGCCTGGGTGAAAGTCCTGACTACCTTCTCTCACAGCCTGTGACCTTGATCAAGTTACCCAGTCCAAACTTGGTAATAGAGTTCTGTTGTGCAAAGATTTTGATCCTGCTTGATCCATAATAATTATTTCTCCCTTCCAGTTATAGACTTCAGTAACTCTTTGTCCTACACAGAGAGACAGAGGGAAATCATCTTTCTCAATCCCCGCCCCCCACGTTAGGTTCTCATTTTTGTAGCATTTTGTTGTTGTCATTGCTATGATTGTTTAATATAGACACAGGGAGAAAGTTTAAGCAAATTTCTTTCACCCCTTTGCTGTAAAGATTCAAACACATTCTCCTGCTAGTGGTGGGCAAGTGATGTCACCAAGCAATGAGACCCCTTAGCAGTCCTCAGACCACAGGATAGTGCACATACAATGGAGAAGACATGAACATCCAGACAGGGTTTGTTTTAAAGGGTCATAGGTGAAAATACCAGGGGGGTGGATTTTTGGATCCTGCCTGGGGGATCCAGTCAGGGACATCTGCCTGACTCATTTCTGGCAGGAGAAGTCTGGTGTCAAGTCTCACCTGGCAGGAATTGAGCCCGGAGTGGAATATGCCACCCGTGTCCTCACCTCCAGTGTCCCCTCAGCCAACCCGAGTGAATGAAAGATCAGATGACCCAGGCTGGCAGGAAAAGGAGATGCCAGCATTGTGACCCAAGAAGGGATTTCCTGTCAAGGGGAAGTAGAGCTCTGATTCACCATCTCCACAAGTCTCTGGGATCATAAGGAACCTGATGGGACCTTCCTCAGTTTCCCTTTCCAGAAAATCAACCTATATGCTTGCACGCCACATTGTTCCAGAAATCATTTACAGCTAAAGGAAGTAAAAGCAACCCCCTGCAGAATTACAGGGTGGCAGAAGCACACAGGGATTTTGGAGATCTTAGGCAGCCATTTGTTGCAGATCTGCAGCCTTTTTTTTTTTTTTTATTGGTTGTTCAAAACATTACAAAGCTCATGATATATCATCTTTCATACATTTGACTCAATTGGGTTATGAACTCCCATTTTTACCCCAAATACAAATTGTAGAATCACATCGGTTACACACTCACATTTTTACATAATGGCATATTAGTGACTGTTGTATTCTGATACCTTTCCTTTCCCCTACTATCCCCCCTCCCCTCTGATCTGCAGCCTTTACCAGTCACTGCAGTGGTGACAGTAACCACAGCTAGCACGTGCTGAGCGCTTACTGCTTCCAAGTGACAACCTATCAGGCAAATGTGTTCTTCCTGTTTCACAAGTGAAGCTTAGAGAAGTCGGGGGTAACCTAGGGTACCAGCTAATACATTGCAGCTTTGGGGTGAAATGTGGGCCCCTGCTGTCTACATCCAGGAGAACACTTGGTCTCTGATCTCAAAAACCCTTATACTCTAGCAGGGGTATATTAAGCACTGAATGAATCTGGGCTCTCTCAGCAGGGGATGCCCCAGGCACAAGCATTGAAAGATGAATGACTGCCCAAGGCTGTATATAAGTGCCTGTGCAGGGAGGGGGCGGTTCTCAGCCAACAGTCATGGAAGCCAGGGTGTGTCTATGGCAGGAAGGGTCTTGACAGACACAAACCACTTTTACTGGGATTTGCTAACTTCACACTGGGAGCAGAATTAACTGAGGCACAGAGTGGTTAAGAACTATGGGGGGATGGGAGTAAGGGGTGCAGGTGGGTGGAGCAGAGGGTTCCAGCAGTAGCCAGATTGGAAAGGGACCTTTTTTCCTCTACCCCCTTCTAGGCTCCCCCATTCACTCAGTGAGTCAGTAACAGGAAGGAGCTCTTGGCCTGCTGATCATGCCATTAGTACCCCCTAGGGAAAGGGGAAGTGGGGAGGGAAAGGTGAGCCATCCCAGCTCCCCCTGACCGGAAGGGAAGGCAGCAACAGCTGCAGCCTGCCCTTGACACAGCCCTGTCCCCACTAGCCCTAAAATGAGAGGTGGGTGGCCAGGAGTCTGGCTAATCAGAAGCACCAGGGCCATTTGGAGATCTGTCCTCAAGCCTGCTGAATAAGGTCAGAGAGAAGCTCTGGAATCTGACTTGTGAAAGCGCAGTCCCTCCCTGTGATGCCCTGGTCAGGTGGTAGCAGCTGCTCCACCCAGTAGAAGCCTCAGCTCTGAACAAACCAGATGCCAAAAAGAGGTGCTATTGGGCTGGGGATGTAGCTCAGTGGTAGAGAACTTCCCTTGCATGCAAGGCCCTGGGTTTGATCCTCAGCATTGCAAAAAAGAAAACAGACAAAAAAAAAGAGGTACTGTCTTCTTCAAGGTGAAGCTCTATACTGTCAAAGGGTTCTTTGGTTTTTGGGGTTTGGCTTTTTTTTGGGGTACCAGGGATTGAACCTAGGGATACTTAACCACTGAGCCACATCCCGGCCCTTTTTAATATTTTATTTAGAGACAAGGTCTCACTAAGTTGCTGAGGTTGGCTTTGAATTTGCAATCCTCCTGCCTTAGCCTCTTGAGCCTCTGGGGTTATAGGTGTGCACTAACAGGCCTGGCTAAAGGATTCTTTCTGATGGGTTCACTTTGTCAATTTCCCAGAAAGCTTTGGAACCTTTGGATGGAGGTCTTTCTTTTAAGTCATGAGATTAAATGGGAAAGGTGAAGTCCTAAGGCAGAAAAGGAAGGTGTCTATTGTGGGTATCCAGGTGCCCTTTTCTCCAGGGCTTGAGCTGGAATGGAAGGCTGGAATGGATTCCCCTTCTCTCCATCTGTGTCCCATCCTCCTGCTCTTCCCTTCAGGATGTGAAGATCTTCCGGGCCCTGATCCTGGGGGAGCTGGAAAAGGGGCAGAGTCAATTCCAGGCCCTCTGTTTTGTCACCCGACTGCACCACAATGAGATCATCCCCAGTGAGGCCATGGCCAAGCTACGGCAGGTGAGTACCACCCTGGACTGCCCTGGCCAGTTGCTGACCCAGAACCCCCATGTTTTTAGAGACAGGGTCTCAGTAAGTTGCTTAGGGCCTCACTAAGTTGGTAAAGCTGGCTATGAACTTGGGATCTTCCTGCCTCAGCCTCTAGACCCAATGCAATTACAGGTATGTATCACCATACCCATAAGCTGGTGACATTGGACACGTTACCTTACCCTCAGAGCCTCAATTTTCTTATTAAGGGAATGAGTTATAAGAGAGAATGTAGTGAGAAAATACTTGTCATGTGCTCAGCACGACCTTCACAGCCCTACAACCTGCTGACCTGCTGCTGGCCCCCTAGACCCCAGTCCTCTGGTGGCTTCATCTGAACTGCCTGGCCTACCAACAGGCCTGCCCCATGACTTCCTCCCCTCCCTTTCACCTGCCCTTCCCAGAGAGACTCAGCTCCCTGGGTGTGGTTAGCACATGACAAGGGCTGGAGTGTAGCTTAGTGGCAGAGGGGTACAAGGCACTGGGTTCCATCCCTAGCACTGCAGAAAAATAAATAAATAAATAAACCTGACCTGAGAGATAATTTACCCTGGGACAACTGGCCTGCCCACCTCCACCTCCCAGGAGCACCACAGAATAGGCCATCCGGCTCCAGCGGTCAGCTGGAGAGCAGTTCATTCTGGATAGAAGCTGCAAGACCTCACTGCCCTCTGCAGTTTCAGGGGTGTAGCTGGGTGCCCCTTGACTGCCAGCCGGGGCTCTCAGGGATTATGGGAGATCTGGGCAGGGAGCACTCCAAGGCCAGGTAGGAGTGGCTCCTGTCCTCTACACACAGAAAAACCCACGGGCAGTGAGGCAGGCTGAGGAGATGCGGGGCCTGGAACAGCTGCACATGGACATAGCCGTGAACTTCAGCCAGGGTGGCCTGCTGAGTCCCCATCTTCACAACGTATGTGCTGAGGCCGCAGATGCCATTTACACCCGCCAGGAGGATGTCCGGTTCTGGCTGGAACAAGGTCAGTTAGTTGCTGGGCCCTGTCTGCAGCACAGCAGAGAGAAGGGGGTGGAGGGACATCACAGATGGTCGAAGGGGCACCTCACTGAGGGGCTCCTTCATTTGTTCAGGAGATGTTTATTGAGCACCTGCAGAGATGAGTCAACCTGGGGTCAGAGATGTAGATGCCTAATTCCTGTTCCTAGGAGCTTCCTGGGCAGGGCTGGCGGAGGGGGCTAGATTGACAAAGCTTTAAGTCTGGCAGAGTGCATAATAATGAGCCCGGACATTCAGGGGTGGAACCTCTAAGCCTTGCTGTGATCAGTCCAGGAAGGCTTCCTAGAGAAGTGGTGCCTGTGTAGCTGTCAGTAAGTGTCATCCAGATGAAAGGGACTCATTCCAGAAGGGACACAGGGACTGCCAGACCCTTCAGAGGGAGATTCTCCGACTCTCCCCCATATCCCTGCCCTTGGGACACAGACCTTCCATCATGAGAGGGGATCACAGGCACCTATTCTTCCTTGCCTGCCTCTGCTGCTGCCTCCCAGAAATCAGTTTTGCACCATCCCCGGTGCCAGTGTCTCCCCCATGATTCTTGATATCTCTCCCCATGATCCCTGGGACCTGCCCACAGCTCTGTGCTGTCCCTGTGTGAATTCAACACTGGCCCAGCTCTCTGTGCCCTTCCCAGGACTGCCCTCAGGTCCTCTATGTGGGAGGAACAGGAAAACATCACCATTCCAGCTCCTGGCCCCTGATCTCTCCACCCAGCCTCCTGAGCCTAGAGAAATGCATGCTGTTCCCTGGGCGGGACTGGATTGAGAGATGCTCATAGGGCTAGCCATGCCTGGCTCACCACTTCCCCATGTGCTGTGCCCCAAACTAAGGTATAAGCCTGACACTAATACCCCACAGAAGCTGTCCCTCCCACAGTCACTGAGCAGAGCCTGGCCCAGCCCCTGCCATCTCCTCGTCTATGGGCAGGTTTGGGCTGTTCCCTCCCTGCTTAGCCCTACTCAGATACCATCTCCCTTAAGAAGCTGAAGCTGTCCTGATTTCCTCCCCAGTCTCCCCAACACCTCTGTTTTGACACACTCTAGTACAGTGGTGTTTTAAAGCCAAGTACAAATTTGAAGTCAGACAGACCTGACTCTCTCCCTTTTTTTTTGGTACCAGGGATTGGAGCCATATCCCCAGCCCTTTTTAATATTTTACTGGAGATAGGGTCTCGCTAAGTTGCTGAGGCTGACTTTGAACTTGCAATCCTCCTGCCTCAGCCTCTTGAGCCACTGGAATTACAGGCATGTGCCACCGTGCCTGGCTCTGTCCCAGTTTTCTAATCTGTGAGATGGGTGACAATGCTTAGCTCATGGGTGAAGGAAAGAGGTACTGAATGTAGAATCCCTGACACATAGTTGGGACTCAATAGATGAAGGTGATTGTGACTCAGTGCCTCCCACTTACCTCCATACACCCAAAGGAGCTTGGGAAGGGGGTGACTAAAGAGGCTGGGGGGTGGGCTGCAGCCTGCAGCTAGGATGCCTCCTCCCTCTCTCATCCTTGCCTTTCTCCCCCAGGTGTGGACAGCTCTGTCTTCGAGGCTCTACCCAAGGCATCTGAACAGATGGAACTGCCTCGCTGCAGGCTGGTGGGGGACCGTGGGAAGCCCTGCACCTGCCGCTATGGCCTGAGCCTGGCCTGGTACCCCTGCATGCTCAAGTACTGCCACAGCCGTGAGCGGCCCACGCCGTACAAGTGTGGCATCCGAAGCTGTCAGAAGAACTATAACTTTGACTTCTATGTGCCCCAGAGGCAACTGTGTCTCTGGGATGAGGACCCCTAGCAGGGCTGCTCTGGGCCCTGCCACCAAAGGAGGTGGCAACCCTACCTAAGGCCTTAAGTTCCCTTCCCCCACTCTGGCCCTGAAGCCTCGGCCTGCCTGCCTCTTGCATGACTGTGAAAGGGGTGGGACAGCAGGGTCATTCATGAAGGCAGCCCCCTCCCACCCTGTGCCTTCCTTGGAGGCAGGGAGAGACAAAGCTAGTTCTCCACACTTGCCCCCTTCCCCTCCTCATCTCCCCTGAAGTGTTCACTTTCAAGCAACCAAAATGTGACAGCCTAGAATTCAGCTCTTCAAAGGATTAGATCCTAAAAGGAGTCTCTGCCTATTATCCCATCTCCCCACTCATGACTAGAAGGAGCTGGCCTTGCCACACCTTCCTATTCCCCACCAATGAAAGGATCTGCACCTCCAAAGAGGTGCTCTTGGGGACCCATGTCACAGCCCCTGTGCCAGATCCCATGCATTCTTCTTTCTCACAAGGCCAGGCCAGGTGTGGGGCTGAGCAGACGCCTACCACCCCTGACACTGACCACATGTGCTTTTCCCCAGACCTGGACTTTGCCCCTGGAGCGGGCATCCCCTCTTCCTCCCTCTAAACAGAAATATTTTTGTAAGGTTCTGGAGCAGGGAGGGAGTATGAAGTACAAGGAAAACTTGAATTCCAGATTTTTAATACAAAGTATTTATCATTTGTACCATAAATAAAAGTTTTAAATTTTTACTTGACACACTAGACCCAGAGATCAAAGAGAAATTTTATCCACTACTGCCACCTGGTGTCAGAAGTGTCCTCCTATATGATCAGTGACCCATCTGGGGGCAGCACCTTCTAAAGTACCTACTGTATGCTCTATCACTTGGGAAAGGGATAGGTGTGAGGGAGGGTGGTATCAGGGAAGGATAGAACAAAACTTGTGCACTCAAGAGATTGAGAGACAAGGGGTTGAGGTCTGGCTTAGTGTAGTAATACATTTGCCTAGAATGTGCCAGGCCTTAAGTTCCACCCCCAGCATTGGGAAGAAGAAAAAAAAAGGAGACTTTGAAACAAGCCATCCAGCATTCAAATTAAGGGAACCAACCTAAGTGCTCTTCAACAGATAAAGAGATGTCCCCATATGGATAGAAACTACAAGACCTGACTGCTCTCTGCAGTTGCTACACAAGGCCTTGCTACATATTTGCTGTGCAATCTTGGGTCAAGTTACTTTACTCTCTGTGCCTCAGTTATAACATAATCCTAATTTGTAAGATTTAAAGTGACTTCATACACGTCAAGTGCCTATCACTCAGTGAGTGTCCTTAGCCTTTGTTATTAATGTGGCTACTATTGGTGAAAAGATCAGACATTGCCTCATCCATGAACCTGAGACCACCAAAGCAGACATGGAAGGCTCTTCACTTCCCCAGCATCTTCCAGTATAAAAAGGCTGCCACAGGAAGTGCTGGGCCGGTGCTGGCAGCCAGAAGGAGGGATTTATGGGCTGTGTTGAGTGGAGAAGGCTTCTTGGAAGAGATGGGTATAGGTTGAGGCTGAAAGATGACAACAGTTTGGCCAAGTTGACGAAAGAGGGTTTCATTGGTCCTGCAGGAGACCCAGCTCCTTAGGAGGGAGCATGTAGGGTACCCATCCTTCCTTCAAGGTCTTGGGGAGGAAGCGGGGTTTGTGGAGCTTTCCCCTCTACCTGGTCCTGCGTCTCTAGAACAGGCTGTGTGCAGAAGAGAGTGTTGCTGTGGAAGCCAAGCTGTCATGGCTGTGGTCAGGCGGAGTGTCCATGGAGGTAGCCTTGGGGGGACATGCCGCCTTCTAAGCATTCAAGGACCTGCTGCAACCTCCCCAAGGGTTGATGGAGGGAGGTGCACACAGCATTTTTTCCCTTCCTTCTTCTGCCCAACCTGAGACCTCAGTCCTGAGCCCCAACCATGCTCAAGGTAGAAGAGGAGATACTTGGAGAAGGCCCATTCCACCCTATGTGTAGAGCCTGCAGGATATACACCTTCAAAACACCTTTTTATTTTTTTAAATTGTTTTCAAGATTTGAAGGCCTCGGGGGATGGGATGTAACTCAGTGGTAGAGCGCTTGCCCAGCATATGTGAGGTACTGGGTTCCACCCTTAGCACTATATAAAAATAAATAAATAAAATAAAGGTCCATTATCAACAACAACTAAAATTTCTATATATAGACTGGGGGTGTAGCTCATCCCCTGGGTTCAATCCCCAGTACTAAGGGATTTCCCAAGAGTTTGAGGCTGACCTTCATTCTCAACAAAGTAGACACCTCCCAAGGGTGCCACATTCCAGGGGCAAATAATAGCCCACCATTGCATTGCAAACCTCCCTCCCAGCCTTGGGCCCACTCCCAGTGCCTAGAATTCCACCCAAAAGTCTGCTGCTGAGATTCTCACATTTTTGTGTTCATCACAATCATACAGGAACTTGTTAAAGCAGGTACAGATGGTCAGCCATTTGAGTCCCAAGGAGATGAGGCTGTACTCATTATCCTCAGGAGGCTTTTGTAGCCATGTGGAAATTCCCAGGACAGGTGATATAATCAGTGGTCATTTCTCTGTGGCACTTTAGGGCTTACAAAGTATCTTCATATGCATTAGCCCATTGGCTCCTGGCAGGGATTCTGGAACATTTTACAGGTGTGGCTCACCTATACAAGTTGTGTGACTTGCCCAAGGTCAGACAGCTAGTGACAAAGCTGGGATCTGACCCCAGGCCATCTTTCTCTATGCCACTTCCTAAATCATATAGGTCATCAGATCGATCATCTAGAGCCTCCAAGAGCACAGCTCACCTAAGGGAGGGAGACATGGGTTTGATGGGGGGGATGAGAAACCCCCCTTTGGGAGCACCAGCTCCCAGTACTAGCTATGTGGGGGTGAAGAGGGACCCAGGCTTCCCTGGTACCAAAGTTAGCAGGAAAAGATTCCTGTCTGCTTCTCTTTTGAGGGAAGGTGCCCTCCAGGGAGACCGAGGCCCAGACCTCCCTGGTGCCTCTTAGAACCAGAGAGGATGAGAATAGTATCTGGAAGTCCTGGCAGCATGGCCGGGCTGGGCTGGGCCCTACCTGGGGTTTTCTCCAGGCTTCTCTCTCTGCATCTCGTGAGCCAAGGGAGGTCTTAGGAAGGGGAACGATGAGGGCCACAGTTAGGGACCTCTGCCCAGTCTTCATGGAATAGAAGAGGCTGGCATAAAAGGGGGCAGAAGCCACACTGGAGAACCAAAGCTTGAAGAACCAAAGCCCATCAAGGGACTGGGGGGGGGGCATGAGCCACCTTAGCATCCAGGCACCAAGGCCCAGCAGAACCAGCCTGTGGCCTCTGCCCTCCAGGGTGATGTCCACATCCTCCTGACTGACTGACCCTGGCTGCTTTGACCCTGGCTCTTGCTGCATGTCATGCTGTGAAAGATCCTGATTCCTAAGCAGGAGGAGGCAGGATGGAGTGATGATCCATTTATTATTATTATTATTATTATTATTATTATTATTATTATTATTATTTTGGTGGTGCTGGGGATTGAATCCAGGCTTTGTGCATGCTAGGCAAGCACTCTACCAACTAAGCTATATCCCCAGCCCGATCCATTCTTTAAAAAAAAAAAAATTGTTCTTTTTAGATATATGTTACAGTAGAGTGTATTTTGACATTATACCTACACGGAGTGTAACTTATTTGGGGGGGTGGTACTGGGGATTGAACTCAGGGACACTCAGCCACTAAGCCCCATCCCCAGCCCTATTTTGTATTTTATTTAGAGACAGAGTCTCACTGAGTTGCTTAGTGCCTTGCTTTTGCTGAGGCTGGCTTTGAACTCGCCATCCTCCTGCCTCAGCCTCCCAAGCCACTGGGATTACAGGCACCACTGCACCCTGATTCTAATTAGGATCTCATTCTTGTGGTTGTACATGATATGGAGTTTCACTGGTTGTGTATTCAGATATGAACATAGGAAAGTTATGTTCAGTTCATTCTACGGTTTTCCCTATTCCCATCCATTCCCTTCGCTTCCTTCCCCTTTGTCTAATCCAATGAACTTCTGTTCTTCCCTGCCCTGATTTATTGTGTGTCAGCATCTGCATATCAGACAGAACATTCATCCTTTGGTTTGGGGGGTTGGCTTATTTCACTTAGCATGTGTTTTGTCAGTTATTTCAATGCTGTGACTAAAAGATTTGACCAGAACAATTGTAGAGAAGGAAAAGTTTATTTGAGGGCTCATGGTTTCAGAGGTCTTAGTACATAGAAGGCCGACTCCATTCCTCATGGCTCGAGGTGCAGCTGATCATGGCAGGAGAGGGTGGAGGAGGGAAGCAGCTCACATCATGGTGATCAGAAAGCAGAGAGAGAGTCTCCACTCTCCAGATACAAAATATATACCCACGCCCCCAATTAACCACTTCCTCCAGCCACATCCTACCTACCTCTAGTTACCACTCAGTTAATCCCTTTGGGATTAATTTACTGATTAGGTTGACTCTCACAACCCAATAATTTCTCCTCTGAACCTTCTTGCATTGTCTCATACATGAGCTTTTGGGAGACACCTCATATCCAAATCATAATGGTATAATAGTCTCCAGTTTCATCCATTTACCAGCAAAAGTCATAAAAGTCATTCTTTTTTATGACTGAGTAATAGCCCATTGTGTATATATGCCACATTTTCTTTATCCCTTCATGTGTTGAAGAGCACCTAAGTTGGTTTCATAGATTACCTACTGTTAATTGAGCTGCTATAAACATTGATGTGACCATGTCTTTTGGGTATATGCTGAGGGAATAAACCAGGTATAAACTGGGTCAAATGGTTTCATTCCAAATTTTCTGAGGAACCTCCATACTGCTTTCCAGAGTGGTTGCACCAATTTGCAGTTCCACCAGCAATGTATGAGTGTACTTTTCTCCCCACATCCTCACCAACACTTATTGTTGCTACTATTCTTGATAATTGTCATTCTGACTGGAATGAGATGGAATCTCTGTGTAGTTTTAATTTGCAGTTCTCTAATTGCTAGATATGTTGAACATTTTTTCATGTATTTGTTGACCATTCACATTTCTCCTTCTGTGAGGTGCCTGTTCAGTTCTTGTTTTATTGATTGCGTTATTTGATTGTATGTATGTGTGTGTGTGTGTGTGTGTGTGTGTTAAATTTTTGGAGTTCTTTACATATCCCAGAGATTAATGCTCTGAGCTGCAGGTAGAAAAGATTTTCTCCCATTTGTAGGTGCTCTCTCTTCACATGATGATCTATTCTTAGCTCACTTCTTTCTTTTTTTTTTTTTTAACTAGGGATTGAACCCAGTGGCACTTGACCATTGAGCCACATCCCTATACCTTTTTATTTTTTAATATAGGTTCTCACTAAATTGCTTAGGGCCTCACTAAGTTGTTGAGGCTGGTTTTGAACTTATGATCTTCCTACTTCAGCCTCCCAAATTGCTGGGATTACAGGTGTACGCCACCATGCTCGGCTAGCTCCCTTCTTTCCTTCATCACAGAGAGCAGAAGGCTGGGATACTGCACCTCTCTCTGACCTTCATCCACTCTGGCCTGTCCAGAAGTCTCTCCTGTAATGGGAGAAGTGTCCCTTCTCCCCCACCCTCAGGATCTGAATCCCAGCCCCTTACTTGGGGACCTACTTCTCTGGAATACCATCCCCTCTTCCTCTTCTACTTCTCTCTTCCCTACCTCCTTTCCATCAGCCCTGCCTG